CTCCCCCGGGGGAGCCGCAGCTGTTTCCTGAGGGTGCTGACAGGGCCCGAAAGGTTCAAAGCTCACCGATGCCGCAGCGCGGCGCTGGGCTCCGCGTGCCCAAAGGTTGCGCGTTGCCTTGGCCGGAGCCTCTGCGCCACGGGCGTTGCAGAGCTAGATTTTGATTTTTATATAGAAAAGCCCTGGTACTCTGGTGGGGATCTCTCCTCCTGCTCTCTCTCTAGTCCCTGAGAGTGCGCAGCAGTCGGGCACTCTGCACGTCCCTCTGTCCTGCAGTTGCCTGCACAGCCCCTTCCCCGCAGCGGGGCTGGGGACGGGCTCCCTCCGATGCCTGCTGTGAACTGGCTCCCAGCTGGGGCAGCACCGTAAAACCCGCCTGTTCTCGGGGGTAAATCCACTCTGCACAGGCATGTTGGCAGCACAGTCCCGGCTGTTCAATTCTCCTTGCCATAAAATTAAATAATTACTTTCTATCAAGCAGACTGAAGTCATTCCCCAGGGCAGAGCGAGACTCAGGCTGGCGCTTTCCTCAGAGGCTCTTTGAAGATATTTCGTACCCAAAGATAGGAAAGAGAAGACCCCCACGGCTGGCGGTGAGCCCAGGGGAGAGCGGCGAGCGGTGGGGTTTCACGTGAGATAACTGCATGGGAAATGGAGATCTGGGGCTGCGTCTCAGCTGGGGGCTGCAGGCTGGGCAGCTCCTTCCCCGCTGCCGCTCTGCTGCGAGGACAGGTCCAAGCCGGGCGTTTGGCCCCGTCTAGGAAAAATCCTGCCGACGGCTGAGCCCCCCTCCCCAGCGAGCCTGACGGTAAGCGTGGTGCTCCCGGCACGGTGCAGCCGGGCTTTGCACCCGCGCATTTTCCAGCAGAACCAGGTGCGTCTCCCCCTCTGCCTCTGCACCCACCAGGGACCAGCACCCCAAACCCTGCTGCGGACCCCTCACCCAAAGCATTAAGCATTTTATGCCCAGCCCCATGGCACAGACCATCTTCAGCAGGGTGGAAGCTCCTTGCGGCGGCTCTGCTCCTCCAGTGAGAGCCCAGGGGGACCCTTCCCTCCCCGCCAGCACTCTGGAAACGTCGCCGTGGCCCTAAGCCCTGGCACGGGCAAGCCCTTCGCTCCCACCTCCACATGCGACCCCTCCGTGGGGAAACTCACGTTTGACTCTCCCGCGGCGTCTATTCACCCTCGACTCCGGCCAGGGTGGGGGCTCCGCAGCACTTGCATTGCCTGGCTGTGGTGGGATGCTTCCTTCTGTGGAGAAGGATGTTTTGCTCTGTAGAGGAGGCAGTTACCCTAAGTCAGAGCCGGCGGGTGACCGTGTGGGTTATTGCTTTCCTTGGCTTTGGCAAGAAGGAGCAGCTATGTGTGAGCAAGGGGCCGTGCCCCAGCCCTCCCTACTACATGGGGCTGCAGGAGGAGAGTCACAGAATCACAGAATCACAGAATGTTTGGGGTTGGAAGGGACCTCTGTGGGTCATCTAGTCCAACCCTCCTGCCGAAGCAGGGTCACGCACAGTAGGATGTAGAGGACC